ACACACATTGTAGTAATTTTACACCCATTGTAGTATTGTTTACAAACATTGTAGTATTTTTACACCCATTGTAGTATTTTTACAAACATTGTAGTATTTTTACACCCATTGTAGTATTGTTTACAAACATTGCAGTATTTTTACACCCATTGTAGTATTGTTTACAAACATTGTAGTATTTTTACACACATTGTAGTATTTTTACACCCATTGTAGTATTTTTACACACATTGTAGTAATTTTACACCCATTGTAGTATTGTTTACAAACATTGTAGTAATTTTACACCCATTGTAGTATTTTTACACGCATTGTAGTATTTTTACACACATTGTAGTAATTTTACACCCATTGTAGTATTGTTTACAAACATTGTAGTATTTTTACACCCATTGTAGTATTTTTACAAACATTGTAGTATTTTTACACCCATTGTAGTATTGTTTACAAACATGGTAGTATTTTTACACACATTGTAGTATTTTTACACCCATTGTAGTATTGTTTACAAACATTGTAGTATTTTTACACCCATTGTAGTATTTTTACACACATTGTAGTAATTTTACACCCATTGTAGTAATTTTACACCCATTGTAGTATTTTTACAAACATTGTAGTATTTTTACACACATTGTAGTATTTTTACACCCATTGTAGTATTGTTTACAAACATTGTAGTAATTTTACACCCATTGTAGTATTTTTACACCCATTGTAGTATTTTTACACACATTGTAGTAATTTTACACACATTGTAGTAATTTTACACCCATTGTAGTATTGTTTACAAACATTGTAGTAATTTTACACCCATTGTAGTATTTTTACACCCATTGTAGTATTGTTTACAAACATTGTAGTAATTTTACACCCATTGTAGTATTTTTACACCCATTGTAGTATTGTTTACAAACATTGTAGTAATTTTACACCCATTGTAGTATTTTTACACCCATTGTAGTATTTTTACACACATTGTAGTAATTTTACACCCATTGTAGTATTGTTTACAAACATTGTAGTAATTTTACACCCATTGTAGTATTGTTTACAAACATTGTAGTAATTTTACACCCATTGTAGTATTTTTACACCCATTGTAGTATTTTTACACACATTGTAGTAATTTTACACACATTGTAGTAATTTTACACCCATTGTAGTATTGTTTACAAACATTGTAGTAATTTTACACCCATTGTAGTATTTTTACACCCATTGTAGTATTGTTTACAAACATTGTAGTAATTTTACACCCATTGTAGTATTTTTACACCCATTGTAGTATTTTTACACACATTGTAGTAATTTTACACCCATTGTAGTATTGTTTACAAACATTGTAGAAATTTTACACCCATTGTAGTATTTTTACACCCATTGTAGTATTTTTACACACATTGTAGTAATTTTACACACATTGTAGTAATTTTACACCCATTGTAGTATTGTTTACAAACATTGTAGTAATTTTACACCCATTGTAGTATTTTTACACCATTGTAGTATTGTTTACAAACATTGTAGTAATTTTACACCCATTGTAGTATTTTTACACCCATTGTAGTATTTTTACACACATTGTAGTAATTTTACACCCATTGTAGTATTGTTTACAAACATTGTAGTAATTTTACACCCATTGTAGTATTTTTACACCCATTGTAGTATTTTTACACACATTGTAGTAATTTTACACCCATTGTAGTATTGTTTACAAACATTGTAGTAATTTTACACCCATTGTAGTATTTTTACACCCATTGTAGTATTTTTACACACATTGTAGTAATTTTACACACATTGTAGTAATTTTACACCCATTGTAGTATTGTTTACAAACATTGTAGTAATTTTACACCCATTGTAGTATTTTTACACCCATTGTAGTATTGTTTACAAACATTGTAGTAATTTTACACCCATTGTAGTATTTTTACACCATTGTAGTATTTTTACACACATTGTAGTAATTTTACACCCATTGTAGTATTGTTTACAACATGTAGTATTTTTACACCCATTGTAGTATTTTTACACCATTGTAGTATTTTTACACCATTGTAGTAATTTTACACACATTGTAGTATTTTTACACCCATTGTAGTATTGTTTACAACATTGTAGTATTTTACACACCATTGTAGTATTTTTACACCCATTGTAGTATTTTTACACACATTGTAGTAATTTTACACCCATTGTAGTATTGTTTACAAACATTGTAGTAATTTTACACCCATTGTAGTATTTTTACACCCATTGTAGTATTTTTACACCCATTGTAGTATTGTTTACACTCATTGTAGTATTGTTTACAAACATTGTAGTAATTTTACACCCATTGTAGTATTTTTACAACCCATTGTAGTATTTTTACACACATTGTAGTATTTTACACACATTGTAGTAATTTTACACCCATTGTAGTATTGTTTACAACATTGTAGTAATTTTACACCCATTGTAGTATTTTTACACCCATTGTAGTATTGTTTACAAACATTGTAGTAATTTTACACCCATTGTAGTATTTTTACACCCATTGTAGTATTGTT